TGGGGTCAGCGTGACTTTCGTAACCAATGGTTGGAGATTCTGGGTGATATGGCTCGGAATCGATCACAGTGGCGTAGGTGTATACACTCTGTCTTCCCTTAAACTATGAGATTAAAATCGCTTCATATCTTTCTTTCTACCAACTAATATTTTCTTCCTGTACTATGTCCTTATATACAATCTTATTTTATCTATTACCACCACTAAACTGACTATTATGAATCCGGTGTTCATCTTGTTGTGTTAATAAGGTATGGCAACTTGGACGGATGCACACATGTGCCTGGTCGTACGTTGTAGCTGACTGACCGACTGATGTCATGTCTCTTTTCACAGTTAAAACTTAATTCAAAACGTGAGCATTTACAATAGTTTAAATGATCTGGACACTTTTATTATTCAGTGGTGAGTATTATTTCTCTATCCTGAAGAATTACAATCAGAATGATTGCAGTGGACAAATTACCGTTTAATTGCTGAATTAGTATTATCAATTTTTTAAAAAAAATAACTGATAATGAGAAATGACGATAACGTTTTACCAACTTTTTTCAGTATATGTCAGTTTGATTAAACTATAGTTTTCTGGATACAAGAAAATCTTCGTACTTACACTATCATACGGTTTATTAACAAAAAGAAAGACTAATGTTTTGACATAACACCCACTGAAACCCAACAGCCCATTATTCAGAAATTAAATATTTCTTCACTAAAAAAACACTAATTTTGCAAATAGCACAGAACTAAATTCACAGAAAAAATAGTGATCATTGTTTTTCCAGGTTGACATAAATTATTACCTATATAAAGGAGCCAAAAACAAAATCCAGATGAAAGAATACTTACCTAAGTCAAATAATTTTGTTATAAAAAACTATATGGATGAATGGACCAAATACTTTATCTGTTGAAACAACTTCACATAACTGTGTGAATACTAGAGTCCATAACCTTGCAACAGTAGTCTTCAGGTGACATTAAGGTTAACATCAATTTTGAAGAGAGGATATGAAATATTTATCAAATTTTTAAATTCCTAGCCACTATATGTCTTTCTGATGCATTGCAATGCTTTAAAAATATTCACGTTTACAATCCCGTATTAAGAAGTTTATTTATGTAATTTTTTTATGACCAGTTTATTAAAAATCGTATTTTCGTGTATTGTAAAATTACAAGAAATTAATTTACTTCAGCACCGAAAGACTGTTCTAAATCATGAATTTTTTTATTGTCAGGCAAGTTGAAAAATAAATCTTACTATTAAGAAAGTGCTTAGATTAAAAAAAGTGATATTCGTACCATTTTTCAATTATCGAAGTAGATACACAGTAACTAGCTAATAGCATCATGATGGTATTTAGGGTGAAAAAATTGGTGCATTAGCTTACGATTAAAACCAATTAATGTTGCATAATGTTCTTTTCGAAAGCAAATTACTCATCTAACAACTAGGCTTTCGGTTCAGCGGATAAGATTAGCAACAGTTCTGCTCGATCAACATGAATACTTTTAAGTAGCATATAAATCATCAACATTTTTGATGGTCCAGTTCTGCATAGACGTTGTCTTCTTTAAACCGTTTTGAAAGTTTGTTGAATAGAATTGTACATGCCTCCAGTAACTTGAGCATAATCCAATACTAGTTACTAAAATTTTAATAGGAGCTGCGACCAGAGGAATTCATCCTCGTGGGATGTCACTTATCCAGAGCCATCACACAATGAAACAGCCATAATCGAGGCTGCACTTGCTTAACTAACGTTGAAAATATTCTCGCGCCTCCAAGCCCGTCTCTGTTATCTGCCATGCGTCATGTTAGTTGTTTAATTACAATAGTTGTCCAAGTAGTGTTTGAGATTTAGGGAACCATATCTGATTTAATGGCTTAATAAGTACTGAACTTTAATATAAGTGGCTTAATCTCTGGGATATGCATACAACTACTTATAGGGTCACCTAGTTCATTCACAACTGTATCGTCAGGATAAATGAAATCCATCACTTAGGGAAACAGTTTTGTATATGAAACTAAAACAATTCTACCTATAATGTCAAGCTTGAATGGAATATATTTCTCTGAAGTTAAGTAAAAAGGTTGCTGGTCAGTTATGGTATCTATTTTCAAATTCCTTAAATGATAACAGTAAAAAATTGTTCAGCGAATTAAATTATGCAGTTATTTTACATCTGGATAACAGTCGACTGTCAAGGAAATTCAGTTGATGACAACTTTCAGGGTGTTTTCTTTGTATAGTACTTTTAACCAAATAGATATACACAATTCATCATCTAGTTGGTTAAGCATCGAAAAAAATACTATAAATAGTCGTGCTCTCTAGATGGGAGCACATGTACGTTATCCAGAAAATTGTTTAGTTCAGTGTCATATGAATAACTTAGTAATAAGCCTACGACTGATTCATGCAAAGGGAAACTATAAACTGTGTTAGTTGATTTTTTCCACTCTCAGATATGTAGGTCATTTACAGAGGAAATCAGCATAATGTCACAACAATGCAGACACAAATCAGGAAAATGTAAAAAAAGCGTGTAAGCTGGAAAATCGATATAATGAAGACACCAGTTAATCTATGATAAGTAAACAGATAAGAGCTTTCATCCAGACAAATAATTACTTGAAAGTAGTTTATTTTTGTTAATGTATTTACTGTCTTATTTTCGCTCTTTCTGACAAATAGATTTTAGATGGTGAAATATGAATTTACATGCTATATAAATATGTTCAATTTTACATCTAATATTCGTAGTTTATGCATTCAATTATTGTCCAACAAATAGGATTACTAGAATATATACACATTCATAGTGATTTTGTTTCGTGTAATCTTAAAGCGTTGAGTTTTGTAAACAAAATAAAAATAAAATAATTTTTTATGAGATTCACTCTCTTGGGAAACATAAAGTTAAAAAATTCTATGTTCGTTTGAAAAGTAACGAAAGAAATTAGAACAACACATATAAGCGAACAATTGTTTTCAATTAGATCGTATACCTCCATCATTTCCCGACGGAGTCCGTTCCCGTCTCCTATATATAGCTGAAGCCATTGGAATTCGTACATATAACCCCAATCTATGTGTACAGAAGAAATACGTGACTCCCCTATCCCTTCCATGGCCAGTTATAACTTAACTAACAATTTATTATTATTTTTTTTTTTATTTTTTATTTTTATTTTAAATTTTATTATAATCATTATTTATTTTATTCTATTTGTGTTATTGTTAACCTTATTTCCACATCCATTATTTGTTTGTCATTATCCGCCTCTTTGTATTCTTCACTATCTAATTATTTACACACATCTTATTACGTAATGATTTTTAAGGTTTTGTGATTACTATTCCTAGTCTATTTACCCATGTTTATTTGACCTTCTATTTCCAACGATTAACTATTGATAAGAGTTTTGTTATTATAGTTTATTATTCTTACCACTATCTGTTCACCTGTCTTCGTACTATCAACTTGTACTTTTACCTATTTTATGTGTAGTGACTTATTCTATTTCATTGTGATTATTGACTCATATTGCCTTGATTGGTTTAACATTTTCGTATAAATATTCATGTATATTAGAGTAAAGCCTGATGACGATCTAATTGAAAACAATTGTTCGCTTATATGTGTTGTTCTAATTTTCACAATGGGAACGAAAGAAATGTCAATACAAGGAAATTTACTGTCATGACGTGAATCACATGAACTCTTTGTCATCTTAAAAGGTGCCATAATTAAATTATGAGTTCCTTTCTTCTCAGGTTCATGCTCTTTATTTTTATCAAGGCTAGCAAAATAAAATTAGCGATTATCGTAAAATTCTTACGCAAATATACTTTCTGTTTTGCCAAATCATTTACTATGGAACTAGGTGACTAAAGTGAAATTAAACCATACACCTCAAATGAATGATCAGTCAATAAAACGGAAAATCTCAATTCAATTGCGAGCATAATTCAAGCGCTTCTTGCAAGTCTCTACCATAACTATTCTTACTAACTCTTGAATATAAAATTGGGATTTTGTTTTTGTTGTTGGATTAAACTCCGTGTCATAAAGTTTCTCTTTTTACATACTAGCATTAAAAAAATATTTAAATCAGATTTTAGCATTCCTAATTCCTAATTGTCTTTGTATAATTTCAAAGATATTACCCACTTTAATAATTCGTAAGAGAATATAACCGAGATTAAGCATATTAATTACTTAACTGTGAATATCACTATACAGTACTTACAAACCAACCTGAAGACACCTGATCGCAGTCAAAATGATCAACCATACTTAAAACTTTTAATAAACGCAGTGAAAAGTTTTCAGAGAATTTTCTAAAAGGTACTTCTATAATGCTTGACCACAATATTCAAATGAAAGTAATCACTGACTGCTTCAGTGTAGTAATTTATTTATTATTAATTTTACTGCCAATTAACTTATCAGTATTTCCTTTTAACTTACAAACCTATCCAAGCGTAAATACCCATTACATTAAAAAAATACTCAGTAACAAACATTTTGGTAAGTCACCGTTTTTATTATAGTATTACTAATGATCATTGTTTACGACTACAGCTCTAGTGGTTATCACTTTCCAAATAATGACAATTTTAGCCAGTTTCCATTTGGGAATTGAAATCGCTGGGCGAATCGTTAAAAAACCAGAGAGAACTGAATAGGAACGTTTAAGATATTTCATCGAATACTGTTATTCCGTGATGAAATATCATAAAAGCCACTTATCTGGAAAATATTAATTGTTCAACCGACTGATTGTTGAAAAAGCTGACTTCTATTTAGGTATTTCTGATCCAGACTTCATAAGTAACAATGCATTCCACAAATTTTCAATAAGCATTGAAATGTCTATAAGTTGATAACTTAGAAAATATTTTGCCGTGAAATATAAATCACGTCTTTGCACTACAAAATTATTTATGGTAATTATTCAAAATAAAATCACTACAAATACTCACGTGCAAGATTGTGAAGTTCTCCAAAACGGAATTCATTAATTCTCGCTGAGGCAATTGTAATAGCTTCCCAATAAATTTCTTCATATAATCACACATAGGACTACGTAAAAACCGATATACAAAACGTCCATTTTCGGGTCTAGGTTGTTCATCCTTGATTTTACAGCAGGAACAACAAAATATTGAATAATAAAATGAAACATTGAACAGGTGTCTTCCATTATGCATGATATTACGTTTTTAATGATGTTATTTGATAAAATATTAATCATATATTCTGGCATGAACTGATTAAATACAAGCCAAATAACGAAGTTAAACATACCAATGTAAATTTTTTTTAACCTAAAATCTTACAGACTCATCGTACGTTACTTTACTAAAGACTGATGCCAAAAATACAGTTGGGTAGTACCACCACAACTAAATAATAGCGAAATACACAATCTGAGTCAGTGGCATTTTCAGCAACTAATCATATTGCAATGCATGTACAGTGAATTTATCATTTAAAGCACGAGTTGCAATTTATACTTAATAGGATGCAAAATGTGTAGATTAATATTGGGATATGCGTTTGTTTAAATATTTGACCCATTCAACGACAAGACTTTATTATTGGGACATGTTACCCTATGGAACGTTTTTATAAATTAATATATTCGGTATATAACTCAAAATACTCAGTAGTACATGACCTGAAAACTAGCTGCATTTTACCTTGATCATTTCATAAAATTTCAAGTATACAGATATTGACTATAAAGTTCACAATTTTCTAAAGATTGATAATGTATTAGCGGTCGTTTGCAAATCATTACAGCAGTATCGACAAATGAACAGTAAATGTACACAGTGATCATAGTCAACTGATAATATAGTAACCTGAAAATTAATGCTGAGTGAATCTCGACATAGTGACTCAGACATCGGTTATCGAATTCCTGGGTTGTCACTTTCAATACCATTAATTATCTGAATTATATTCAGTGATCAGTGCCCTTGATGAGTACATTTATTCGGAGATAGCGCTCGTTAAAAATTGATATCAACCAAAGAACTATTGGAAAACAAATAGCAATACACAGTTGCTTCATTTCATAGTCTGTATTCTCTATCAGCGAGATCTAAATGTTCTGAATTAGGTCCCGCGTTTCGTGGTTTGTGAAGGCTTCTGAAGAGTTTTAAACTATGATAAAACGCGTCTTTAACACTCCATGGTTTATAGTTATTCAGTTTATTACACGAGCCATATTTAATCTATCCGACAATAATTCATTCCGTTTTCATCTGTTTTCACAACATATTAAAATCTACTTTTAAATTCATTAAAGCTTTAAATTATTATAGGTGAATGTGAACACTTGCCGTTAGTATGATGATTTACACTAGGTTTGGTGATATCCAAAGGCACGTTGTCTAATATGAATTCTCTCTAAAGTCTTTTACGTACTTAAACATGCACTCATTCACCATTTAAAAAAATACAGTTTTATTCTGTGTGTGAGAATAATAGCCTGTACTGAAATTGATTACAATATTAAATATGCTCATAACAAAACGTCAAGACAATTTTTATTATCGTGCTTAAAATGTATCTAATAATTAACGTTTCTGGTTTGTTTTTAAATGATTCATTAGATGAATTCGTACCCGTCTATATCATCACGCTGAGTTAATGGTAAACACACACACACATTCACTCAAACATATTAACGATTTACACTAGTAAGCAATGAGCCGGCTCGTACGCTTATCTGTGTAAATACATACACACAATTAGTATGATTATTAGTTTTTAATTTTACTAGTAGTAAACACAGAGACGTTATCAGTTTACTGAAAACATTTATTAAAAAATGATATGAGAATAACTAAATATTTATTCTTCAAATTAATTACTTAAAGTAATTCATCACATTTTATCGTCATTGTTTTCTCGGAGAAAAAAATGCCAGTAATGATAATAAACAAAATGAAGTTGGATTTCTTCTTATTAAGTACTAACTACTTACAAAAATTGGTAAGCTTGAATACTGTGTAACTATCTAATCAATCAATGTTTCTAATAATGACACGTTATGAAGGAAATTGTAGTAATATTTACAATATAACATAACACTATAATATAAAGAGAAGGAAAACCATGATTTTCATACCTCTATTTTTTCTAATACTTCTTTGCCAAATGAGCAAACTTTAGTTGATAAGTTAATTGGAACGTCTTCCGTACCCTCGAAACTAATAAAAAAGGAAGCAAATAAGAGGATATCATCTAACAAGAATTTGTACATTGACATTCAATAGAAATACTCCTTCCTGAAGTTATCCAGCTGTAATTCTTCTGTGTTTTAAGTGATTTTAGAATACTGTAAGATGTAGTTTTGGTTACTTGGATAGTAGGATGTTAAAATTATATCCCTGAATAACAAAGCTGTAGACGAAACTAGTCAACGTGACTTTTCACTATATCTCTTTTATATGGTTTATATAAAAATAGAAACTTCTAAAGTTACTCTAACTAGTTAGTACAAAGTGACATTGTGTGTTTATTATGTTAACTGGATTATTTTAATCCCTTATTAATTGTAATGCATTCCTCTGTTTCTATTATTTTTCCTTATATTTTAAATTATGCATTGTTGCTGAATTCCACGCAAAATCTGTTACCATTATACAACAGTCTGTTTATTATCCATCTCCACTACGAGCCTACTGTAAGGATTATTTCGTCCTAGTAAAGGGCTTAACAATAATGTGAATCCATGAACCCACTAAAAGCATTCTAATATACATCCCGGTGCAAAGCAGTGAACACATGAATTATTTTTTCCATAACCTTTGAAAATTTTACACATCAATTAAGGTTTCCAGTCGAAGGTAAAGCTCTACCCTTCTAGTTAATCCATGAAACCCCACTTTATATATCAGGTAAATATGTTAAATATTTTCTTGTCTTACATATATACATTTAAAAGAAGTACAAGAGTATAAGTCTCAGTATGATCTGTTGCCATGAGTTTTAGTTAAGTATGAAATTTCGAAAGAAAATCTCATATTTATTAAGTTATATAATAGTTCTTGGACGTACACACTTAAGTGCTAGTGATTCAAGCAAATTGTGTACGATCTATCAATATAAAATTACTTAAAAATTGTTCAGTATAATCATCTCTGACTAATCATCTTGATTAATAATGGTGATGAAGTAATTAAGAATAAACAAGTAAATCCCTTTCAATAGACTAATCAGTTGTTTTTGAACATATTTGTATTGAAACTTGAAAAGTATAAATCTCTATTACCAATGGAACATAATTAGTGAGTCATTACATTATTGATTACGTTGTACAAGCTTAACTATCATGGATTGAAATATTGTAACGAATAGATTAAACTACTACAAAATATATTTGAGTTACATATTTTGCAGACTTTTAAACAGACATTATGTGATTTTTATGAATCAATCCATTGTCGTCAATTAAATATTCCTTCCGCTCTGAGATAGGCAAACTTCCTGGTGTGTAAACTATGTTTTTAAACAAAGAACAATAGCATGGGTCATTTTAAAACAAAGGTAACTGATAAAGAGACTACTAACAACAGTAATCTCAATAAATATGCTCATCAATAATATAAACTCACATAGCTGACACAGCGAATGTGGCATCTGGTTCAACCATCACATTGACATCAGCCTATATCCAGTAACGATCGGACGAACAAACATTGCATGAAATAGAGAGAAAAATCACATTAACATTATGAAATACACAACCATAATAATAACAATAAGGAATAAAATCGTAAGATGGTGCACAATGTATCACATATTTACACAAACACAGGTACAACAACAATAATTGTTCTGTTTGTCTAAGCTCACCATATAATACACTGGTTAATGAGCAAATTATAGATCTTTCATCATGACAACAAAAATGTATTACATTCATTAACTGTGAACTAACATGTAATATTAGTATTTTTTCAGATTTCAATAAGAAAATCTAAATCATTTTGGTGAAAACAACATAGAAAAATTACAGTAAATAAACATTAATAAAGTAAGTAATGTCTCCACGACAACAACAAATAAAGATTGCTTTGATAAAAACAACACAAAAGACATTGACTAACTTCTTATACCTTGTACGACAAAACATACTTTGAAATACTATAGAAACAAGTAGAGCTTATAGGTGCATTTCGTAAACAGTTGAATCAATAAATTATCATCAATTCAACCAACTACTATTATAACATGGTTTAGTAAATAAAATTTAACAACACACTATGATGCATTGACAATACTAATTTGAACAAAAAAACAACTGTATTGAGAACATTGAACAACATAAAAATAAAGTATACTTATGTATTATATTGTTTTGTCAATAGCTATATTTAATATAGATTGGCAAATTCTATTATAAATCACCTTTATGAAAGACACATACAATAAACACGATGTTATTAAGTTTGTTTTATATTGTTTGTTGTTTATTTTTACTCTGCTGATGAAAATCATTACATGAGATGTTGAAATTCCAAATCAAATAGTAGACAACAGAAATTTCTGGTCTGAAAGATTATGCTTGAAGAAGAATGGTAAACAACATTTACAAATACCATTGAAAAAGTGTAAATAAAATTTAGTGAAGTATAAATATACACATATAAATATATTTGATTCCCTCCACATTTACTGACAGTGAAAAAAGGTTTGTAGAATGTAGTTACTTTCCTCTTTCGTCAGACCTTTCATCATTGACAAATCACCTAAATTTAAGTATGGTCGGATACAAAAGTATGACATCATTTAGTTTGGGTAGTTGCGACATGATTTTGTCTTATTCCTCCGAAACGTTCGTTTACTTCAAACTCCCATCTCAGTTTCATGAACTGAATTATACAAGACAATTAACAAGATGAAAGTCAAATTATTCAAAATAATAGTGTCAGTGATAGTGAAAACTAATCAGGTAAATTAATCCTAAAAAACCAGTAAATACTAAGCATGAAAAGTATGAATTAAAAATAACACTGAAAATCTCAACTAACATAAAAGAAATCGGATCTATGCTGTTGTTTACAATCTTAATCAACGACCTGTTGAAGGTTTTTGCAATTGGCTCTGCTTAACAGAATTTGTATGACACTATGTGATACCGTGGGACTGTATGAATCAAAGTCGATCAAATGGGGTGAGAACTTGTATCCCATTAATTATTTAAAAATGATCCATGATAATAAGTGCGTGGTTTTAATTATATGTGCGTACTGGGCACTTCAATAACCTCAACGAATAAAAACTTAAAAAGTCAGAGACATTTGGGATTGTACTATACTGTCTGATTATCTTTCATTACATAATTTGAAGACAAACGCCGATTATTAGGCTTTGGTCATTGATATTTACCACTCAATTTTTCAACATCAGTGTAATGATATATGATATGACTTGATCAGAAAATACGGATTTAATGGATAAACCATTAATGGCTCTCAAGTATAACACACACTATTGAAAGCTTTGTATAAAAAAATAAACCAAGATGAAATTTCTATTGAATCACATACATTGTAAATACAAATACTATTTGTAGACGTTAATTCGCAATTTTTCCGCTTTACATGCTACACTTTGACTTATGTCCGATTATAGAAAATATAAGCTAATTTTCATTTCATCCTTATTATTTTTATACTAATGATTGTGAACTTTTAAAACACTTCATAGATGATTGTCTTCATAAAGGTTTGGCTGTTCTTGCTTCCTATATTCAGGACTGAAATGATCAGTTTCTGTTGGCACATGAGCTCCACAGACAGTTTTTATGGCATATCCTGAATTTGTATGGAGATAACAGTTTCGATAATTTACAACAATATAAAGCGAGTGGACATAAATGAGTATATTTAAATGACCAGTTGCAAGTAGGATGAAAACTAAACCTAGATTTTCCATGACAGTCTCTACTAAAAATACATCATCATTAAGTCACTCTTCAGTCACATCCAGAACTACTGAACTAAAATCTAGAGTTTTCAAAACTCGTTTTAAATGGTCAAAAATAAGTGAACTAAATTACTATTTAACATGTATAGATATCTCAACTTCTTCAAACATGCAATAAAGTCAAAAATCTCTGGTATAATTTGCTAATAGCTTCCTGATTAAGGTATCTATTTCATTATATGTTTATTTTTGTGATATTGTTAAAGTAAATCTTGTTTCATTTCAGCTAAAATACACACTGGATCATTGTTTGTATCCGTTAAGGTGTGTTCATTTCATTTATGTACAAAGGAGTTTTATTAAACAAAAGCCTTAAGAAATCCAAAATGTAATTGTTTTTTTAATAATATTTATCTCTATTTTTGTTTACTAACCTCAAACAGTCAAAATAAAGCGGCTGTTAGCAAAATTATGAAAATCGAAGTAACTCGAAGTAACAAAAAACAAACTGGCTAACTGAAAATTTATGAATTTAACATGATTTTAAGGCGTTATACATTAGTAAACAAGCGAAAAAAAAGTGAAAACAATACAAAAAATTGTATTGAAAATTTCTTCTGAAAAGTAAATACATTTCAACATGAAAATACATGCGTGAAGTGTTTAGGTAAAATAAACCAGGTAATAGTCTATCCAAAATAGTTTGTGATAAAATATTTTTAATCTAACTAAAACAGATGAAAAGAAGAATGAAATTCACTCAGAATAGATTGAAGGATCACAGTTTAACATTAGAAATTACACATTCGCATAAATTTTGTTTATGAATTTCCTTAACTATAAGTAGGGTCTATACAACACAGTACTGAACACTGATTAACATGATTAATCGAAGATAACTAGTTTTTTTACAGCAATGTTCCCTAGTTAGATTAAAGTAATATAAAATTTCTATGAACAGCATGCTTCTTTTATACTAAGATCATGAGCATTGATTCAAGTCACAAAAACCGATTGGAATTTCAGTTAACTTTATTTATTCATTTGAAAGAGCTAAACAGATGGAGACAGAAATTTGATCGGTTCGTACTTTGCGGTGAATCAGATTAAATAAAATCCTTCTAAGCTAATCACAACACTCTATTCAAAAGTTTCTATGAATAACATTGGTATTATTTTTAATTCTTAATCACCTACTGAGTATCGAAAGTAATTAGATTCAAAATTCTCAATTTAAAGAAATTATTAAGTTTTTAGAATTTTAAAAAAAATAAATTAGGTCCTCTTCTATCATATTTTATTTATTTGTCTAGAACTACTCTCGTGGAATTATTTATACAAATAAACTAATATATAGAAAGCATTAAAATAATCAGTAGCACACAGCATGAAAAGATTTTTCTTTACTGGTCATCGCTTTTTTGTGTGTTAAAATTATTTTCATATTAATAATAATATGAAGTAGGATATTTGAAAGTTCAAATTATGTGTATAAGTTTAAACATGATCAACCTTTCTATCCATCTATCAATTCATTACAAAGAAAGGAATGCATTCATCCATTATTTTAGTTCTCATGTTTTTTTGTGTACTTTATGTAATTAATCAATTAGTTAATTTGTTTATTTACTATTTTATAATTTTTACTGAATGATTGTTAAACATTAACATTTCATCACCACCATCATCATTATCATTTATAACTAACATATTTTTAGAAACCATTTTAAGCCAATCGTAGTAACTATTGAATATTACTTTCTCACTGAACATGTTTCCATGTTGAAATGGTTTGATCTGAAGTCTACTAGAATAATATCAAAAACAGGGAAGCATTAAACGACAAAGACAGAAATCCTCTTCCACGATAGCTTGAGTGATAGAACTTTGAAACCGGTTCAACATGATTAGGTATTGTGAAAACGCCAAACCGAAAGGAGGAAACAACTATTTAATTTCTATTAATTCTCAGTAGTTCTCCAGTTGACATCAGTTAGTGATAAAAATTGTCTTCGAAATAAACAAAACATTCCACCAAACCATCTGACTTAAAATTGTAGATAATCACTTTCAAATAAAACATAAACTAAGTAATTATTTAAACTGTCGTTTTAGATTTACATCGGTGTGTATAAAATATGACATATATATTTACGTCATATGTGAAAGTTTATTACTAAACTCATCTAATTGTTACAATGATATTCAATGCATAGACTAGAAACAAACAAAGAAGTTATCAAGCTCATCAGAACATGAGCACAAGATACTTCCAGCTATTATAATTCTCTGAAAACTGACATAAATCAGTAACCACTTTAAATAATAAGAAATATCTCCATTATGTAATTATGAACTACTTTTAGTTTAGTTAACAAAATACAATACTTATAACATTTGTTACCTTAAACTTAATCTTTGTTCAATCTTGAACCCTAAATGCTAATTGACCTTGACAATAATATTGTATAATCCTATAATAAATTGTCAAAGTAATTGTCAATTGTTATCAGACCTCTTCATGTATATTACATAGAATTTGATACACGTCCAAATAGTTTTAGTGAGTATGGACAATCAATAAGTATAGCTTTTATTGAAGACGTTTAATACTAACCTATAACCTGTTTTCATAAACATCAATATACAAAGCCCTAAAAAATACAATTTCCCGAAATTGTATTTTTTTACTGTGCTCATAATTAAAACTGAAACAATAGTTTACATGACAATGCTTAAACTCTAAAACATCTCGACTAACATGGAAATAGCCTACAAGCTTAGAACAGTAATTATTGATGACTGATGATTGTTATAGAATAAATCGAAATGAGGGAAAGCATAAGTTTCCATATGAAAAACACTATAGAAGTAGTATGAGTTCTCAGATGGCTTTTCTTAGAAAAAAATAATTCAGTAGTAATAGAATATATTGTTTATCAATAAATAATCCCTTCATTTTTATAAGCATTAAATCAGAAATCATTTGGTGTCTAACGGACATACATCGATTGGATCACATGCTTTAATAAGGTAATTGCTAAAGTTCAACGATCGTAATAGTCAAATTGTCAGTACTTGTTTCAGGTATTCAGTTAAAATCTCCGATAGAAAGACAAAGCCATAAAACCTATCATTTAGTTTGATTTATGTGGTGTCGAATAATTTAGAATGAATTTCAAGATTCTATACACTTAGGTTTCTTTGATATAGACATTTAACTTAAAGTAACCATAAATTAATTCTTCGATATATCGACGCTATTAAAAATTCAATTAACTGAATGTCAACGAACACAAAACTATAATCCAGAGTTTTGTATAAAGTAACTCTGTACACAAACTATAAAATAAAGTTAGACAAATTTCCCCTATATTAGCATTCATTCAGTTTGAAGTGAAAAACATGAAGAATAAAAACAAACTCAACTTGCATGTGACTGGATAAAAATAAAAATGCAAAATTCCTTACTAATTGTTTGGCTGGTGATTTCATCAGTCAGTCAAACGCAACGTAGAACTATGTGCTTATGTACATTTATTCAAGTAACCATATCTCATTAGCATACGGAAATGAATTTATTAAGAGAAATCTCAGAGTAGTAGAGGTAGTAACATTATTAATTGTAATAGAAAATATTATCCATCGAACATTCACTTCCGAAAAATATAAATTGGTGAAATAAAAACATTATGAGCAATTCAGCGGCTAAGAATCTGGGGGAAGATGAAAAGTAAATGCACCTGTGCCATTCCAAATAATTTTGAGCCATGTCATTCAAAGTTTCTAATCACTAATACGATAATCACACAGGCCTCAACCAGTTGGTCTACACCTATTAAAATAGCTCAGTTGAATCGTCAATGAACTCACGAACTAGTATGTATCATTACCAAGGTTTGATTTGATAATTTCGAATAAATTGAGTATTGAGTAGATTGTTATAAGTAAATAATATATTTGTAATATCCCAATGAGTAGAAAATCTAATTTTCTACTCATTGGGATATCACAAATATGTTATTTATTTATCACAGACTAGTGCCTCGTTTTGGTTATATCAATGCAAACTCAAGCAGACCATCACATAACCATAATTTTTATTTATAGTTCTCTACATTTCGTTTTAAGATAAAATAATAAGCCCCTGACCTTTTACAGAACAAATGTTTTACAGTCAAAACATACCCAGAATTTAACCAAAAAGAATGTATTCATAGGTCCATGTTCCATAAGTTCTTTTAGGCTGTCTTCAGGAAATTTATCCCAGATTTGACTTGCATCCACTTGCTCCAAATTTGGGTCAGTGTATAATTGCTCGTTTAAAATGGGTCCAATGTGAACAAAATTGTGTACAACCATCGTCGATTTTGGGGTTGTAGTTAAATGAAAATCATGTGTATGAGTTCCCTGTCGTAAAATCAAGGACAAAGAAGACATTTAATTAGCTATTCCTGAAAAGAACGTAATGATAGTCATGGGCTTTATCATAAAATTCTGTATAAAAAAACTATTAAATTATCACATACAACACAGGATCTTTTGTAGATGTGGTGAATGGATAAAAATATGCTATAGAAATCAATCTTGTGAATATATATAACGTAGTAGAACTGAAGGGTTTTTGAGATAATAAAGCTGTAATAATCTGTAGTCAGTAAAATGTTATTGTTATGATGTACTCCTGATTCTATTACTCATTACATGACCACATCGAGAAACTAATAATATGTGACATTGTATTGACCAAGTTTCTTGTGTCAGTGAATTCATGAAAAGCAACTTCTCACAGTTTTTGTTTACAAAGGAGTACAATAATTATGTTTTGAAATTCCATGTTTGCAGTCTCAATATCCTAAAAATAATATGCTAAGTAGAAATTTGTTTAACTTTAAAGGCTTTTTTAAAAGAAACCATAAAACTTTGCAACCAAATATCTCAAAATGATGGAAGATGAAATTCTGTGCATACATTCAATGACATGCACCGTTGCTCATGAAAACAAAGAAGTTATTATATGAAAAATAATAAAACATGTAGTTCTGAATTTAATGCAATAATTTAGCCATCAAGAAAGAAATAGTGTTTGCTTAGCATAATAAGCACTTTTTCTTCCTTTAGTATTTTACGACAAGGTTTTTATATCTAAAAAAACTGTGTGCTTTAAGATTGCTGCATATTACAAAAATATTCATGTAAGTCCAAATTTACTAATGGTTGGTTATATTTAATACATTAAAATTCGGGTTTGTCATCAATACCTGACACATAATAAGATGTATATTCATTTTTATCATTATTCATATAGAAGTGTCATTAACAAAACACATTATAAGCTGTACATTAACCCCCCAACTGTTCTCCTAATAAAATTTACTTAATCATTTTCACAGTTAATTTAAGGTGTAATTTGTGAACTATAACAAACAACTTGCTAGTTGATTAGATAACCAGATGAATATATGGCTTTTCAATATATATTGGTTTGAATACAATAATCACAAATTATTTACAGATGATAAATAAGTGTATTAGATTATGCCTTATACATAAAGAAATTGACAAATATTGAATCCCATTTTCACTCATACAGGCCTACACTTATGAGTTTTCACAATACTTGGATTGTCAGAATGCCAGACGTGTCCTCACTGTGAATCACCATCACCTATTTATGCGTATGAATTTTATGAAAGGTCGAAGTTAATTCACCTAACATTTACCAGAAAAGGCTTGTTCTGAAAAAGGAAAATAACACAGCGCTAATCATATATATATATATATATATATATATATATATATATATATATATATATATATATATATATATATATATATATATATATATATATATATAACATCAGATAATGGACTTCCACTACTTTTTATTAAAATATAAAATTTCTTTCAAGGTATTGAATTGTGAGAGAAAATTCCTTTGAACTGGTGTAAATGAATCTGATAAATTTAATTGTATTATTAACAAGAGAGCATGGTGTGTACATTTTATTCTGTGTTTTGCCAATTAAGGATTAAAAATCAGAATATATTCGCTTAATAATTCGTATTACAACTAATCCACACATATAGTTAACCACCTGGCAGCTTATTCAGTTTTGATTGAGATCATTTATCAATCAATGTTAAACCACTACTGAAAATTTAGAAGCACTGAACGGCCGTTTCGTCTAAATCCACGGTCCCACACGCAGGACTTGATGGTCTAACATTGATCGTTTCATGATCTCAATAAATGTTCAACAATCTCCACAACTTCATACTGATAATTATTATTTGTTCACTGGTGACTAGTTCCAAGAAGTAATTCTCGGAGTTCTACTGAGAAGTCGTAATCAGTGGAGTTCAACTGTGTTGGGTGTGGGACAGTCGCTCACTGAAGATAATAGATGATCGAGCAATATCGTGGATTGATTGAAGTTAAACATTAACAATGTTGGATACCGACCCACTGTCATAGAGGTTAAGCGTTCAAATGAAGATGAAGGTCCATAGTTCAAGTCCCGCGTGCGGGATTGTGAAAAGTCTCTACCAAGGAGCCCCACACTGGGACGAAATGGCCATCCAGTGCTTCCAGGTCTTCGACGATGGTTTAGAATTTATTCAAAGTTATTGAATGTATAAGATAACAGATTCACTCACATCGTTTCGATGAAAATTTTCTCCACATTTCAATGTTATATATATATATATATATATATATATATATATATATATATATATATATATACGCGCACAGTTTGTTATAAGCAAAGTATATTCATAAGCTCATATGGCGTCGTTTATTTTCAAAAGCAACTAAATATAACAGTCACTTAAGTTTGAAAAATAGGAAGAAATAAGCAATCAGGAATTTTTTTTATTTTTTATTTATATATACAAAGTCAATGAATGTAGCATACCATTCTCTGAAAAAAAAAGAGAAATGTTACGTCATAATTTGGTTTATATTTGTGATTACCCGTGAACTAATATCATGTGCTCACGCCGACATGTGCACCCAGGTCAAAGATAATCGTATTTAAAAAAAACGTATTAAAAACACATCTACTAATCAATAAATAAGTAAATATACAGACAATTAAATTTAATGATTCCCCGATTAGTTTTGATTTCACTAATAAACTCAGACAATTTAGTGTTTTGATTTGCCGTTTCATCAGAATAGCATGTCTTTTACCCTTAAAATGAATAATTGTTATGATAATGAAAATAGAAAAGGTAGAAAACTTAATCAAAAGGTTGTGGTTGTTTCCAAGGACCTAAGGTAAAACTGAACTTATTTTTCCATTGTCATTAGTAGAGGCTACTAGAAATAGAATTTTAACTATATTACTAAAACATTTTATTGAAATCTGCTTTAAAACTATTTAAAACGGCATATCTACAGCTATACTTTAGTATAGACATGGTGGTCACTAAATAAAGTGTTAAAGTATTTAGAATATCTCCAAACTCTCATAAAAGTCAACCGCTTTTAACAAATAAACTATGACAAAGACAAAGAAGTGAAAAGTATTTTACCAGTTGATAATTAATGAATAAGTGTATTAGACAAACGGTTATTAAGTTTGAGTTGAACATGATTATCATTATTATGTAAACTCTCGGAACTCTAACTTCACCAACGTTTAGAGATTCATCATGATATGGGTTAAAATGATTATATTAGCTTGACATTTCTGTGATCTGTGGGTAAGAAACAATTACTAGTAGATGATAGTGCAAAACAGTAGTGTTACACAGTACGCTGGATGAAGCTAAGAAACAGTATCCATAACCTATCTAAAAATATTTCCAAAACCCATCTATTCTTGAGAGAATCAAGAAGAAGCAGTAACTATTACCTGAACAATAACGCCGACGCAGTTTATATAATTATTTACTTCTCAAGGGGAAACAAATAACTTATGCGAGTCGCTGATAGAAATTTATTTGAGAATACCGCTAATAGAGCTAGATTTAAATAGACGTAATATATAAATACTACCAACACTATCCTCCTAGTTGATAAAACATGTCTTTTGTTGTTTAATCACAGATAACATCCGGTTGTTAGCTTCATCAGGTGATTTAATACTTCTTACTAACAATATAAAAAAGATGTTTTCTATACTGAGACAATGATTATTGGGTGATATAATTGTATTGTATTTTCTTTTATCATTCATACCCGGATTGCTGAAATTTGCATAAATTTGGTAGTGCCAAGTTGATTTAATTTCAAGAGTTATTTTACGATAGTAAAATGTAATCAAATCTAAGTTAATTTTATCCTTCAACACAATTAACATCGTGATGATCATTACTTTTACTATTAATAATGGGAACAATTTTATATTCAGGCCAGTAGAAGTTGTTGTAGTAAATCGATCAGGTAGTTTGCTGGATAGATTCACGGATTGGTAACTGGGATAGTCATTCATATACACATAAACTGTGTGTTATTTTGTGACTAGGCTTATATGGATGGCGTATATACATATATATATATATATATGTCTAAACAAATTTTAGGTTCTAAACTAGCCTAATGTTCAATAGGTATAAAAGTCATACCAGGAAAGAGAAAACGTAAAATTTAACTATCCGTGGATAGGCACACATACAAACGGAGTAAAAACGCTGAGATAGAGTTACATGAATTATACTGGCACACAGCTGTAATTTCTTTTTTCAGATAAATCTAAACGTAATTGTATATTGTTTCCCCAGTTTTTTTATTATTTCACTTAGTCCATTTTGTAAGAAACATTTATATAGAGAGAAATATATATGTAAATGAACACGTGAATACACTGAATGCAAGCACATTTCGTAGGTTGAATCGTAGGTGGGAAAATAGTACTTCTTTTTGTTAGCCAGATGAGCCAACCAAAACGAAAATACAAAAAATAGGAACATTGAAGAACCTCATTAAATTGGCATAAACTAAATTTTACGTTAGTAAATATGGATCATGTTTGATATATGACAGGTATCTGAAACTGAATTTTATTGTGTTTGAATATGTTGGTCGCTCTAAATTATTAATGAATAGTAAATTTGTGTTAATGAGCCATACCAATAAATTCAGTCAGTATACAGTGGGTTAAGTAACACGTTTTGATGAAGTATCGGATTCTAATCAAGCAGTTCATAGATAAGTTCAAATTAAATTGGCATTAAATAACGAAACGTTAGAAAAAATGACCAAATTAGTCGTCTATAGGTCAAGCATTCGGGCGTGAAGCCGAAGGTCCGGGTTCCGGACCCTGGTTTTGAGGTTGTGAATGCACACTGCTGAGGAGTCCCATCCAGTGCTTTCACGCTTTCAGTGGTTATCCGCCATTTCGATGTTATTACCAAGTTGCAAAATATATTCGTCACATTATAATTTAGATACCTAACATAAGAAACCAATTTATACTTAAGTACTGAATATTGTTTGCCAGTTAATTTTCAATGAATTTTATGGTACATGACAGTATTTGTGTAAGACGACACTGCTTAGCTCTTATTAAAAACAAGGAAAATGGTATTTCTATCTAGATAGTCTTATTTAATGCATATGACTGATTTATTTTTCTCCAGAACTCATAAACATTAAATATCTCAGTAATCATTCCAGCATTAAGAGTCCTGCAACTAAACGATCATTATCTACCATTTAAAGATAGTATTTGAATATATATCCAATACCATGATGAAGAAACATTATGACGTTTTTGAAATGTATAATGTTGTACAGAACGTCCAGAGGTGATCCCATTTTCTTGAATTAAATGAGATTAATAAGACTAATCAGCAAAGTGAGGTTCACAGGTTTAAAATTATGTCACTTGCAAAACCCTGAAATATGGTAAATTGCGTCAAGAACAGGTCTATTCTCTATACTATCAAAGAGTCTCATAAAAGTTTACAAATTAAATTCAGTCTGACCGATTTCAAAGGACTGATGAAATTGTGTTTCTTTATAATAAGATAATCTAAGCACTATATTTACTATAAAGAAAGTGGAAGTAGGTTTAAACTACGATAATAAAACAGTAAATAACTGCGAATTATATTAACTTACATTGGACTGGGATTTCGACGTTGAACTTATCATGTAGGCACTTAATTCAACCAATCTCATTTTAGGTGCTGTAACTGATCGTCCCATCCATTTGGGTATGTTGATATTTTTTAAATCTTCTGGTGTTGTATTAGTAACCATAGTAGAAACATTTACATTTGACAGTGATATATTTTTTTCTGCACTCTAGAAATTTTTTATGAGATACAAAATAGATAGTAAATGAACTTACCTCTACAATCATTTTTCTAGAATATTTCGGGGAATCTGAAATAGAATCATCGCTATCCCTTGAAGGATTCATTGAAGAATAAGAAATTTCTCGTAAGAAATTCATTGTTCCATCATCACTTAGTTGTTTATTAGTAGTTGCTAATGCATTTGCAATTAAATCACTATAATTGTTATTGTTATTACGGTGAGCATGATTAACATTTAATTGTTCTATTAAAACTGAATTTTGTTTAGGTACAACTGTCGAAGGAAATGTATTTACATTTGATTTAGCTGACAGTACAGATGCATGATGAGAAGATGATGGTGATGATGACAGTAAAGAATTTGTTGGCCATAAAACAGATGTTATTGATGTACATTGTTGTTCATAGGTTGCAACTGAAGCAACATGTGCAGCTGCCATTGCTACGGATGCTGATGCTGATGGTGTAGTTGATGTCATTGAAGAGCCTAGTGAATTAGGCACTGAAAGAGTTGATGTAAAACTCGGTACTGAGGATAATGAAGAGATTGACGAGCAATTTGAGGAGGATATGGAAGAATCAATATTATTGTTGATAGTGGTAGTACTATTATGTATTTTTTGAGGAATCGCGTTATTATTATCATTATTATTGTTATAGTGATTGGATGGACAGTATAATAACTGACCAACTGATGTTTTGACAAGAACTAGTCCGTCAGGTTGTAAATTTGGTAATATAACAGAGGAATTATTTATTGGTAATGTGGACTGTAAACGATTACCATTATTTACTAAAGATGAAGTTGATGGAGAAGACGACTGATTTCGATGATTATTTGAAGTGATTGTCATAAGGTTATCTAACGCCAAGGGAAAATTTAGTTGTTTTGAATCGATTTCGTGTTGCTGTTTACTATCGACAGGTCCAAGAAGTTTGTTATGTAAATCTAATGTATCCGAATTTCGACTGAATAAATTTGACTGTTGTTGAGATCTCAAGGCTAAAAATGCCTCATATGGATAAGATAACTGTGAACTATCATTATTCACCATATTTCCTTGTTGTCTTATATCAAATGAATACGGTGGTAAAGATGAATTTATAGGAAGAAGATGGGCTAGTGTAGCTTGACTAGAGGGATTTAAATTGATATGATTATATTGGGTCGTTTTATCATCTTGTATTACTGTAGAATATGAACAGTTTTCTTAAAAGGAAAAAGCGAAAATCTTTCATTCAACTTCGAAAAAATCAAAATATATCAAAATTTACTGTAATAGAAGCAAATTTGTTTACAGACTGATATCAGCTGAAGAATAATTAAAAAAAATAATGTTGTGGTGATGGATTGAGTTATTTTTAATTATATAATGACAACTTGGTGTCAGAAATGAACTTAAGTTGAAAATATCGATATCGAATAATTGAAAGACCTATTACTCAGTGGAAAACAGAGTGTATTATTGGTGTCTTTATACTGTCATATCTATCAGGAGTTTAGACTATCGATTAAACTTTAAACTGAAATTCAAAATTTCCCTTGTTTTTCTTTAGATAAACATCTAAACCATTTCGATTTTTGAAAGTTCAAATGAATGACGACATTATTAATAGTAAGTAAACTATTATTGTGGATGCGCACTACTGAGGAGTCTCATACTAGAACGAAACGGCAGTCTAGTGCTACCAGGTTTTCCGTGGTGATCTAGACTTGATCGACTGACTCATGAATTCAACTACTAAACTATCAAGTATTTATTTATTTATTTCAAAGACTACATCAAGTAATATCAGTAATTAACAGAAAAATTGGTCAAATGTATTTTATTCCCATTAGAAACTATATTGGTCAAAGTCATATAAATTATATATATATACAGTTTTCTTTTTCCAATGTGTTAATAACTAAGAATGTTATTCCGTATTGGGATGTTCTTTTACGGTTATCACATTTATACTGACTTAGTGACAATTTATTTACTGAAAACACTATACTGAAGTCCTACACCATTCAGCCTTACAGATTACCAGCCTTTTACAAGTTACGGAATTTCCAAATGGCATTAAAAGTGTACTTATCAGATTCATTTCTACATAACGTTGAATAGTATGAAGTACCTAATAGACCCGTTTTAGCAATAAAAAATTTCAATACAATATACGTATACACTTTTCCATTCATAAATAAATAGTTAACAGCATATATTACAACTAATTTATACAATCTATGTAATGTTGTCGTATCCCGTCTCTGTATAACCTCGATAAAATAAAAGTATCATGTAAACGAGCAAAAATTAGCCAATTTATACCCTTGTATGATATAACTTACCTTGAGATTTACCTTTAACTAAATTTTTATTACTAATTGTAAAATTGTTTTGAACATTATTATTGATGGCTTTTGAAGAGGGGTATTTATGTAGATTTTCAAGATATAAACCATTACTTTTATTCTTTAATTCTCTATTATTAGAATGTATAAGATCATTAATATGAGGACTTCTATCAGTGACAATATCTTCAACAATTAAACTATGCATATCACTTCGATTATTTGTCATATTCAAAGGATGTGAATTTGACAATTTAATTTCATTGATCTTCTCATCGTCTGTTGATGGATGAATTCCAGATGATGTCACTGGTAATCCACCAGATGTTGAGATAGACGGTAAGGTTTTGGAACCAAGCACTCCTGCAGATACAATTTGTGCGGAACTGAGCATTGATAGATGCATAATAGCTCGTTGTTTCGTATCAGGATCCTTAATCTGAGCTTGAAGTTCTTTAGATTTTCGACGAGCCAATACTTGAATGTGACTTGAAACTTGTTTTCTGCTTCGAATCTTTCCAGTGTGTTGATATATATATCTAGCAATTAATTCATTTCGTCCTGTCACATTAAGAAGAAAATACACAAATGTATATTTTAAAAAGAATAAAATGCATATAGTTATGAACATGATTTATCCACTTAGCATTAACAAATTCGAAAATACGAACTTCACAGAGTATATCTCAAAGCTAATAAACATTATGTTGACTGAAAATTAAAAATAACTCGGCTGAGATAAGTATACATATGATTGTTTGACAAACTCAATATCACAAGGATAATGAGAAATATTAACTAGATGAAGAGAATTTGCTTAGACGACAGACTTTAGCGTTTAGTGAAAACTGTTTTCAAATTAAAATGAATAATTTCACAGGCTACCCACATAATAATAATAATAATAATAATAATAATAATAACCCTACAACTACTGCTAATAATAATTGCAATGTTAAACGTATTACTAAATAACATTTAACTGGTATTTCCGACAATTCAGTGTTAAATGGTAACAGAACAGTTACCATTGACAGCATTGGGTAATGATTGTACTATATTACGAACCGATAGAAATTGAAAATATAGACAACTAATTTCCTAATGAATTGTCTAATAGGTTTGCGCCCACTCAGAAAATTGGGGGTCATATATTCTATTCTGTTCAGATTTCAATTGTCAACAATCGAATGGTCTCGAATTCAAGTGAAACACCCGTCAAGTGACCCATAATTTTCTGTTGTTTTCCAGTTAGTATCAGTTAGTAAAGAAACACGATTTTCATGGGACCTATTTTAGGCATTTTTTCTTGAATCCAACTGCTTTTTCATATTCTGCTTTGCTTCTTTGGATGGTAAATTTTTACGGGAATGATTTCGTACACCTTTAATAATTTTCGTCTTCACTTATAAAACTAAATGCAAATGAGTATAATATAGCAAAACTTTAGATGTTTCGCTTCAATATACAGATGAATGTTCAAAGCCTTCAAGAATATTGTGTTTTTTTTCCTAGTTTTGTAATGTTCGACAAAGCAGACGTACACTCTCTTAAACTATAAAACGATGAACTACGACAATTTAATGTAAGCTATTATTTGGTATTCCAATAATTACAGTTTACCCATCCAAATCTCTTCAAATCTTCAGAATTTAGAAGATACTATTTGTTGTATATTTAGTTTCATTTGATCATTGTCAATCATTTTTCTAAAATGAGAATTTATTTAGACAATTAAATGAAATAAGCTCTAGTTCACTTCTAATCATACTATACATTTTGAATAAAAACAGCGGATAGTATGAATCAAGAGGGATGAATGCAATTAAGTATTGAATAATTCCTTTTATATATTATTATATGTACGGTTAATAATTTTTTATTTGTATATTCTGTGCGTAATCAGTTATGCTTCAGCTGAATCAATTAGGATTATTTTTTTAGGCACATCCCCCACATTAAAGTAGTTAGGATTGACTCTTGAAAATGTCAGAAAATTTATTATAAATGTCCTGAATAGTACACAAGGAACATTATTAATCTTTCTCCCGAGGCTGATGTGACATACTCTTTGTGGCCATGTACCCGTTTGGCAAATTGTTTTCCTTAAATTATTGACAAAATAATCATCCAAGTGTACATAACTCTAGGATCATTTATCAATGGTTTTATAGTTTTAATTATCACTTAATATTACCTGATGTAAAGATTTGTCAATCAACTTATATAATATCAGTTTACAAACCTCCAGTTATTAAGTTCGATTTACTTTAGTTTCAACATTCAGGAAGTATGTTTAAGTATTCCCAGGTCTAACACCTAACTCCGATTGAAGACACAGAAGAAAGAACAATACTCTAAAATTTCGAATAACTTTATTCATAAGAACGATAAAATATGGATGGTAGTTACAACAAAGTTATTGGTTAGACATAAATTGAATGACTTATATTTCTCTTACGATCTATTATTATTAACATCAAATCAAATGGTCCTCTAGCAGTTTTATACCATAAGCTATTTAACTTGAAAACGGAATGGATATTTTTTAAATAAATGGTTAAATAATTAAGGTATCTTGTAAAAAAACTATAAACCACTCTATTCCAAGTTAATGAGTTCCATTAGAAGATAAAACCTAATTTATTCTTAAAGTATTTCAATGTAAATTTGCCTTCAATTACAAATACTTCAAGTATTTTTTGACCAAATACATGAGCTATCCAACTTTCATATTTGGTATAGAAATACAAAATTACAAGTACCTATTTAATGGATTAGTATAAAACACATTGAAATAATTAATTATTTTCAGTTTAAGGTACACCCATTTTTTGCTTTTTTTTCTGTACAGGTTAATTTGGAAATAGAACAAACAAAATTATGTGACAACACCTTTTATTAGATAAATTCCATCACTTACTTAATAAGACAGATAAAAGGTAGATATAAGTAGACATACATAAAGTTGCCGAATTAGTTTTAGCTTACTATGAATGAATGTGTGAATACAATCCATGTCTACTGGAATTTTTCTTTTTAAATCGTTAAAATATATGTATATTGAAAGCGTGAAGTTTGATAAACTTGATGCAATATGAACTTCAGTAAAAGTGAAATAGTGTTTGAATTTAGTAAGATTTATCCGGTAAGCACATGAATAGACTTCACACTTTAGATGAGTGACATAGACTACTATATAAAATTAAACAATTGTCATTTGTGTTGTGAAATCAGATACATGTATTGTGAATATATATTGATTATCTAACCCTATTACGTGTTATCTTAGTAAAGAATAAGAAAGTTTTGAAGTAACTAAATGAAAACAGAATAATTTCATTTAATTATTAAATTTTCAAATAATACCCGACTGAAATATAATGCAAATGAAAGCTTCGAATATTAGCTCATAATGTTCAAGACGATTGTCCAAATCAGTCACTTTAAAAACTAATATGCGGTCATTAAATTCAATTGATATTCTTTGTTTGATTCTCTTATTTCCTTGATACAGTGAATCTTCCTGCTCAACTTAAGTAAATCATCTGAAAAGTCAACAGATAATCAAAAAGTCTCCACTAAGAAATAAATAACTGATACTTATTCTTTTTATAGTTACATTTACACCGAAGTCAAGTGTCCATTTAGGGTTTATAATGAGATGATAAGAAATCATCAATACACGCGAATTACATGGTGATTTATACTTTTAACCTGTTACCTAGATATCTTTAATAGCTACCACGCACAATAAAAATTTACATCCTTTCAATCGGGTACTAGTAGTAGGAAAACGAAATTGATCATTTCTCACGCAACACAAATAAGAAGAATTTACAGCGTTATTGTCATGGATAGAGAATTAAATATTACAACAAAAATATCGATCGAAGGTAAGTGACATAGCTAGATTTGTTGACAAAAATTTAAAACTCGAATCTTTAATGTCAGTACCAAAGAGAATGTTTCATATGAGCATTGAATCTGAAGGTGATAAAGTTGAAGATATTTTGAAGATCAGGATTTCCATCTCTCTCAAAATAACATTCTTGGAATCAACTCTAACGATAGTGCTCTCCAGTCTTTCTATATTCACTAGTAGCCTTAAGCATAAGTTCTTGCTTATAACCACTTTTACGTACATTTATCAACCAACCAGTTTCTGTGTATCTAAGTAAATAGGTAGTTCGATGCGCATTTCATACAAAATAGTTTATGAACATTATGCTGCATGACTGGAAAGGGTCAGCGATGGAAGCCCAATATAAACCACCTAGTAATCAAGGTTCATTCCATCAAAAAATTAGTCGTCGTTTAAATTTATCTACAAGGTAAACGAACGCCTACTAATGATTGTTAGTTGCCATCCCCTTGGTACCATCAAAACTTTAATCATACATTTGAAGAAGCTAGGATTGTTCATACAAAAGAAACTTATTGAATTTGTACTCATACCAAGCTCTTATCGCCCAACCATCATTCTACCTCTTCCCGTCATTATATAGATCTTTTATCCCTAACTGACTTATTTCTATTTTTTATATCATCACATATCATTTCAATTTCGAAATTTCATTTTATCGTGTGACCAAGTCTATTCTAACAATTATAAATCTTCATCCAACTTCTGTAGGATTCACGATAAGTATTCAAGCTCTTAGCGATTATATTTTCAGTTTCTTCGCCATTACTATGTTTGGTAAATTTTTATTATCAACAAACTAATTATCGATTATCACTATGCAAAAGTATTTATATGCAATTGTACAGCTTTGAAAATGAATTCATCTGAAATGGAAGTTTTTGGTAAACAACTCGTTCTACAAATGCCACAAGTTCACCCGTGTAATACTAAATCACGATAAACCCTCTTATTATAATAGAACTCATGGAATGGTGAAATGAAAAATACAAAAATTCTTAATGTTTCCCTTCTAGTATTGACTTCAGATTATCATGAAGATAACTTTTGAAGCATTTCGAAATAACAATGAAACTTCTCAGTACTGAAACATCAAATTAAACTACATAGCCTGTAAGTTTTAGAAAATAAATACAGTAACTTACCATACATTTTTCCCTCTTCCGATAGTATAATTTTCCTACGTCCACATGGTGGATATATTGCTAGAGCTTCCTGAAAACATTGTTCTATATCCATCGACCAAACACCTTCAACATCTGTGGAACTCGAATTCTCATGAGCATCCATATCAGAACCGGAATTACTGACACAGTCATCGTCAAAATGAAAATCTGTAGAATTTGTTGATAATCGCTTCGGCGTTGTAGGCGCTGGACGTTTACCTGATCTTATTTGATGATTAGAACTGGTATTTATCGAATTACAATAGAATGATCCATTTGAAATGGTAGTTGTGACAGAGGGAAGAGTAAGGACAGGATTAAGCGGTGGAGGGCTTCTTTTTAATTGTGTATTAAGATGATGATGAGAATGAAGATGTTGTTGTAGCGCATTATTTGATTCAGTTATCAAATTTTCATGTGTTATCCCAGAATTCTCCAAATGTAACGAAAGTGGCGATTTAGCAGAAGCATTATCAGATAATGATTTGTTTATATACATTTTAACAGATCCTAAATCTGAATCCATATTATGTTTAGATACAGTTTTACTCAAATTAATTAAAGAATTTCCCCCGCTTGAATGATTACCGTTGTTGTTGTTGTTATTGTTATGATGATGATGATTGTTATTAGAGATTGTCATTTGGACTGAATCACCATCACTACTAGAACCATTCCCATCTCCAGAGGCTGCAGCCATCGCAGATGCAGATGTGAGATTCGGGATTAAAAAACCTGGTTTACCTTTACAAATTTCCATGCTCCAAATAATATTTATATGTGTATGTGATAAATGTTTACAAGTATGTGTGCATATATGTACAAATATTCCCACCAGCTCTTTCTGTGACAAATATCTCCTCAATATATTTGTTTATATTTACGTATACTTAGTTTTTTTCCATCCAATAAATAAAATCGAAATCTGTTTTTTCTATTTATTCCTCCACTCAATAGAAAAATGGTATTATCATGTTTTGTACTATTGTGAAATATGCTGAAGAGATGAAGCGATAATATGTGAATTAATAAACAAACACATAGGAATGAGAGAGAAGAAATTATGCTCTGTAAAATTAATCAATTTCTAAAGATAAATATATTTACATGTCTGACCTATAATGAACATATTCACAATGTCATCCTAGTTACTGTCAGTGTCACTGGATATATTGATAGGGTGAGGTAAATATACTATTTTAAGCTAAAGCAGAAGTAACGTTTTGGACTTAAATTAACTTGCTCAAAATAGAACCACTATAGACTTTAAAGACAACATTTTCTAAATTCATGACTAACCAAGCCTCAGATATTTAAAGTATATGAAGTCATTAGTATTAGGTCCGAAGTGCGTAGTGTTTTACAGATCCATTATGTCCCTCAATGTGCGTGTTGTGATGTTTGATGTGACAGGGGTGAAGGAAGTGAATAGGGAGATGAGTGGACAAAACGAAAATAGACAGATTATTCGGGTAGGAGAGTAAATGCTTCGGAATGTGCATAAATGTGTTTCGGGGGTGAGTAACTGCTAACATGAATTGTCAAAGTAATTTATTTTAAATCATAAAATCATTTACTGTTATTCCTTGTTATCTTGTCAATTTTGAGTTCAGACTTTTATACAGTTAAAAAAAATCAAAATATAAATTTCTTTTATCTTCTAATTTCATTCATACAGAACCCAGTTACAAAAGTTTTATTTAAAGAACACAATATACAAATATATCCTGCCCTGTGATTGAGATAACAATTTCATTTGACCGAGTAACATAAAAATAGGCTTGTTTTTGAATTTTCACGGGTAAGATTGTAGACATGCTTTCTCTTTTCAATATTACGCACATATATAATCAATTTCAGATTTAAGAAACAACACAGTCACCATAGCAATATTTATTCAGCTTACAAGTTAGGATATTCCGTAGGCTACTCTATTGAAAAAAACTGTAAATTAGGAAAAATCGTATAAAATGATTCATTTCTTAAGAGAGCAAGTCATTGGCATAGTTGCAAAATAAGGGATGGATAGTGCAGCGTTTCAGTAACAAAGTGTTCAAACGATGAATAAGACATTGGTTATATGAAATCTCAAACAATTTTCATTTCATATATTCCATTTTTTCAATAAATCTGTCTGTACAACGAGACAACTAGTGTAGTTGTAAATAAATCCTAAAAATGAATAGTTCTGTAAGTCTTAGATATCAATGCTAACCCCATTGGTCTGACTAAAATCACACTAGCCGAAGGTGCTCTATCACTATTCCGCTCTAGATCACGAGTGGGTATGCCGTGCTAAGCATTCCTCAGAACTACTAGCAAGAATAAATCAAACGTTTCTCAACACACCGACAATCTTCCAAATCTATCTTCGAACTCATTCATTCCTGACTTCTGATTTGACTGGGTTGGTATCCTTTGAGTATGAAGGTGTTACAAACGGAAGCGTTATTGAACCCTGAATATCTATGCCATATTTACAAGCAACGGTAACCGAAATGACTACAATAGTATAAGCTAAACTCAGAAATTAATATAAAAGACTATCGTTGAGGGTGCAATTTATTATATATGACTAGAATTTAATGATTATGAATGGTTATGTTTGTGAACGGAAATACAAGATATTATCAGTTTGTTTAGTCACTACAGTATTTGAAACACTCAACATTAAAAGGAGTGTTTATTCTCATGTAACACCGATCACAGAAAATATCAATGCAATCACAGAAGTTACCAAAATCATCTTGTCTACTTCCTAGTCCTGATTTCGCTCCAGCGATCGATTGCTTCTAACCACCTAGTGTCATGATAAATAACTGGGTGGTGCCTTGTTTTTCGCCAGATTAAAAGCCAACTAACTATTAGATAAAGATGTTGAGATGGTGTAGAAGATTTGTAGCTCAGGTGGATGATTTTGGTAGAGTTTTGTTCTCTGAGCTGGATGGTTTGGTCGTGGAGCTTTCATATGGAGAAATTCAAACACTTCACTTCTATCTGAAGTTTGTGCTGATGATGTCGTTCAGAAGAACGATGAAAGCTCCACGACCAAACCATCCAGCTCAGAGAACAAAACTCCACCAAGATAAAGATGTTGTCAAACATTGTCGTGTTCCAGCGATATATTATTGGAATAAACATTCATAAAAAAATATTAATAATAGTCAGTTCTTAAAAAGCTCAATATAATGTATGAAGAAATTAAAGCTCATAAAATGAGTAGTATTCGTATTCTTATAGTGTTTTCGTCACGTTGGTAACTAGCCACTATCATGTAGCTAAAAAAACAAATGCTTGATATGGTAAATCCTTTACAGTTTTAATCACATAATTATCTACCATCGACAAACATATCTCCGGACGACAGTTTATTTAGTTTATGTTTCCAAACTCTTCAGCAAGACAATTTATACCAAAAACAACAGTTTAAA